GCTGGCATTATTAGTCAGTACATTTCCTTGGCCCATAATTGTATGAGAGGGGTGGGTGACAAAACCTGGAAGCCAGCTAATTCATTCTTACACATCTTGCAGTTTCAACTGTTGGAAAGGGCTTCACACCTCCTGTATCTCAGCGAATCCTTTCAAAAGCTCAGGTTTGTGTGAGCTCCGCCTAGATATGTGGCAACGCGGGGCAGAAGTTGAGCGTACAGTACAATAACTTGCTTACATCTCCTGTTTCAGTTCCTGGGGTGCTGAAATGGGGAACCGGGGATTGCCCTCCCAATGGATCTGTTCTCACATTTCACGCGCAGAGACTTCGGCAACTTGAAAGACAACGGGATGCCGAGTGGGACAGGCAGAGGGAACTGGCGGATCGTGCAGCCATGCAGATGGAGGAGCAGGAACAGCATTTCCGTGAGCAACTGAAGAAGAGCCTGGACGGTTACAACCACGAATTGGCTGAGGCACAGAAAGCCAAGTACGTTGTCCAGGGGTAAAACATTACACAGAAGGGTGAAATGAATTTCCCTGGGTTTAAGCTAGCGTAGCGGGCAACAGAGTGAGAAATTGCTAAGATGGGAAAGAGCAGAGTTCTTCAAGCATAATCTTTGAACTCCTGTTGGGCATGCTGGGAATGCTTCCAATTAAATTCAGCCTTTCACCCGAAAGGCCTCCAGAATATGCCTGTTCTGTTGCAGCGTCTGCTGTCCGGTATGAGCTTCCCCACGATCCAGTTCAAAACACACACACACACACACACACACACCACACCCCCATCCTGCTGATATTTCAAAAGGCCTGAAAGCCTTAGTTACTTCAACTAGGCCTTCGGCAAGAATAATTAAAAGCCCCGTTAGGTTGTGTGGGCTTGTTTTTCTTCCTGTCTGCTTCGTTCTCTTTTATTCTTTCTTGTTTATTCCCATATTGTTTTATTAATGATGATGATTTGTGAACCAATTATACTCGTTGGGAGGTATACAGATTTCATTAATAATAATGTGGCTTCAAAATTAAGGTGCAGATGGGAAGGTGCATGCTTAAAAACAAAACAGGCAGACTGGAAGCCAAACATTAATTTTTATACCTTTTTTTCCTGGGCTGCATTTTGAAAAAAATATGCTGTTCATAACTCTCTAAAAAAAACACCACCTACTCAGCCAGGAAACCAGAGGCATCAAGATGCTATCTGTAGTTACTCAGTTATAGAATTGCATTATACACATGTCTGGTTTTTATGTATTCCTAGATTAAATTCTGTCCATGAAGGATTTCAGCCCAGGGAAAAACGAGGTGATAATCTTTTCCATGAAATCTGACTACATTCTTTTCTTTTGACAGCTTGAGGTATCTGGAGAAAGAAGTCTACACCAATGCGCCCACAGCCCACTATTATTTACAGTTTAATACCAGCAGCCGCTGATGGGAGATGCAGCTGGGAACAGCTTTGGTATGCAAAATAAAGTTGATTTTCTGATGGAAAAAGGACGTCTCCAGTGGCTGTAGAAGAGAGGTACCAGCCTGGACCTGAAATGTAGCCCGGGCCTGTTTAAATGTGACCATGCAGAGCTTTGCAATTTGGGGAGGGGTACTTTCAAGATCAGGTGTTTGTTACATGAAACATTACACAAAACATGTACGGATATAATACCATATTCAGAGAATCAAAATGTCAAATATCAATTGTGTAATGATTTTATAATAGTTTGCTTGTTATCTCCTTAACAAACAAGAGCCATCGTACAATCAAAGCTAACTATAACCCCGTAGTGTTTGCTTCTTGATCTCACGTGGGTTAAGTACTTCGTTTACATTTATCTGCATTTGCGACAAGCCAAAATGACAGATGCGTGGCGACAATATTATCCTGTAAATGCTGCAATTGTACACTTGCATATGAACTTAGCAATAGCAATAGCAGTTAGACTTATATACCGCTTCATAGGCCTTTCAGGCCTCTCTAAGCGGTTTACAGAGAGTCAGCATATTGCCCCCAANTCTTTTTCGTCGCGCTGTGATGACATCACGTACGCGATTTCGTCGTCCGCGGTTTTGTGGTGGAACCAAGGGAATGCCAGCCCCTTCGTAGCTCATCTCCTTTCTTTTGCCCCCTGAATCAGGCTGCAGAGGTTGCAGAGCAGCAACGTGTATCCCAGCAGCGTGAGCAGGATGATAACTATGCTGAGATCCATAACCACCTGACGGGCAACCTCCTGTCGGAAGACCCCAGCGTTGCTAAAAGCTCGTTGGGGTCAAACCGTGTGATTACTGACCGCTGGAAGGGGATGAGCCCTGAGCAGCTGCAGGCGGTGTGGCAAATGCAGAAACAACAGTGCCATGAAAACCAGGTGAGGGATAAGAAGGGGAGGGCAGAGGAGAACTAGTCCCTGTGGGGGAGAATGACCGCCAACATGGGAAACAGGGACAGGGAGTCCTCAACATACATAATCGAGCCTAAAATTTCTGTTGCTAAGCGAGACAGTTAAGTGATTTTTGCTCCATTTGATGACCTTTCTTGCCACAGTGGTTTAATAAATCGCTGCAGTCTTTACGTTAGTGACACCGTTGTTAAGTGAATCTGGCTTTCCCATTGACGTTGCGTGTCGGAAGGTCGCAAAAGGTGATCGCGTGACCCCAGGGCACTACAGCCGCATAAGTAGGAGTCAGTTGCCAGGTTTCTGGATTTTGATCACGCGACCATGGAGACGGTGTAATGGTTGTATGAAAAATGGTAGTCCCTTTTTTCAGTGCTGTTAGAACTTCCAACAGTTACCATACGAACTGTTGTAAATTGAGGACCACTAGTAATAGGCTTTGCATAGTAAAAGCATATTTATTTGTGTTACCCTGGATTGACCTGCACCCAGCTAATAATTCATAATCAATCAAGGCAGAAGGAGGACCTTGTTCTGTGATTATCCCGTAAACATTCTCAGGAACTGCACAATACTGTAAGATCTTAATGGACGTGAAGATTCTTTTGTTTCCTTGGGAGGGAAGAATAATTCTGCCAGACATACGAATTGTTTGTACGGAGGCTTTGAACTGAGAGGTTTAAGTGATCCTGGAGTTGGACTGAGAGGTTTAAGTGATCCTGGAGTTGCAATTCTCTCAGCTTATTTTAGGGCAAAAGTGTGTTCTCTCTGCATCCGAGTCTTAAAATGTGTAGATTGGCTGGGCAATTCTGAGATCTGAAGTCTACACATACTGTATAGAAGCTGTGAAGATTGAGAAACACTGCTCTAGACAATGTCTTAAACATGCAGGCTACTTGCTCTGTGAATCTACAGTTAAGGAAAAAGAATGGAGACAAATGAACCTAATAATAACCACAGCCTAATAAATGTCTCNGATAAAATAGCATAGAAATGCAGGATATTTATGCCATGATAGATGGCACAGTTCTGGTTCACTTGATTTGTAAACACAATTTCAATGTTTCTGTTATTCCTTGCTTGAATTTTCTAGTTTTAAAGACCTCTTTGACCTCCATCTATAAAACTGTAAAGTTGGACACAGAGGCTGTCAAAAAGATCCGTGTATTATGTACAAGTAGTCCTTGACTTATGACCACAATTGAGCCCAAAATTTCTACTGCTAAATGAGGCATTTGCCCCATTTTATGACCTTTCATGCCTCAGTTGTTAAGGGAATCACCTCAGTGGTTAAGTTAGTCACACGGTTCCCAAGTGAACCTGGCTTCCCCATTGACTTTGCTTTTCTGATGGTCACAGAGTGGAATCACATGACCTTGTGACACTGCAACTGTCATAAATATGAACCAGTTGCCAATCGTCTGGATTTTGATAGCATGATTGTGGGGTTGTAACTGTGAAAAGCGGTCATAAGCCACTTTTTTCAGTGCCTTTGTAACTTAAAACGGTCCCTAAATGAACTGTTGTAAATCAAGGACTACCTGTAGTTTCAGTTCTCACAGTCTTCACTGGTTGTAACTGTCAGAGATAGAGACAGAGCGGAGCTTGGGCCATCCATCAGATGGAGAGTCAACAGCCCCCAGGTCTGGAGGTGGCTGATAAGGAAGAGGAGCTGGGTCCAGTGCCTGATGCATGGATGCGCTGAAGGCAGAGGAGAGGAGTGCAGTGGAAATCAATGGGCTGATCCTTGGGATGGAAGAGATACTGCTGCTAGCTCTGGGGATAAAAGCCAGACAAGGGAGGAGTTGAATTGGTGTGGCAGACAACTATTCATCTCCCTGCCGGACCACCGCTGATAACCTGAATTTCCGAAACCTGTCTAGAAATTATCAGAATTCTTCTTGGAATCTGCAGCACCTTCTGAGTGGAGGAAGAGAGAGAGAGGTGTTGGAGCCATTTTTGGGGGGGGCGGGGGGAAAGGGATTGAGCGTCACTTTCCACAAGACTTAGAGCTGTGATGGTGAATCTATGGTACGTGTGCCAGGGGTGGATTGGATTGGATTTATTCAGTTTGTATGCCGCCCTACTCCCGAGAGACTCAGGGCGGCTAACAATCAAAGAGGGAAGGGGGTACAAAATAAAAATATAAAAAGACAAACACATTTTAAAAAACAACAACAGTCATACCCTCGAGTGGGGCTGAGAAATTCAACAGCCCCAGGCCTGCCGGAACAGCCAGGCCTTAATGGCTTTGCGGAAAGCCGGAAGGGTGGTAAGGGTCCGGATCTCCACGGGGAGATCGTTCCAGAGGGCCGGAGCAGCCACAGAGAAGGCCCTCCCCC